CTGGGGGGGCTCATCCTGGGGAAAAGGAGGCTCAGGGGGGACCTTCTGGCTCTGCAACTCCCTGACAGGAGAGGGGAGCCAGGGGAAATCGGGCTCTGCTGCCAGGGAACAAGGGACAGGATGAGAGGAGACGGCCTCAAGCTGTGCCAGGAGAGCTTTAGAACAAATATTAGGGAAAATGTCTCCACAGAAAGGGTTGTCCAGCCCTGGAACAGGCTGCCCAGGGCAGTGGTTGAGCGAATGTGTTTCTTTTCAGGCAGGTTTACAGAACATGAAGTGACTACTGAAGTAATCAGCATGAGAAACATTGCTGAAGCATCACATTTGCTACAACACATGCCAGAATAGCTCAGGATTTTTCACTTAAACTTTTCAATTTCCAGAAAGGTCTTCCGGCATCTGTGACTTTACCAACCTCTCTGTATTTACCAGGGGGACATGATCATGCTGTACCTCCCTGGGTTTCAGCACTTTCTCACTGGCAGACCAAACCCTGTCTCACATACAGGATTTACTGCATCCCCAGCAGCAGGTTGAGGGCAGGGATTCTGCCCCTCTGATCTGCTCAGGTAAGACCCACTGCAGTGCTGCCTCCAAATCTCGGACCCTGATATCTGAAGGACGTGGAGCTGCTGGAACGAGTCCAGAGGAGGCCACGGAAATGCTCGAAGGGTTGGAGCCCCTCTCCTTTGGAGATAGGCTGGGACAGCTGGGGTGTCCAGCCTGGAGAAGAGAAGGCTCTGGTGAGATCTTAGAGCCCTTTCCAGTGCCTAAAAGGGGCTCCAAGAGAGCTGGAGAGGGACTTTGTACAAGGGCATGGAGTGACAGAACAAGAGGGAATGGCTTTCCACTGTCAAAGGGCAGGGTTAGATGGGATATTTGGAAGAAATTACTCCATGTGAGGGTGGTGAGACCCTGGCACAGGTTGCCCAGAGAAGCTGTGGCTGCCCCATCCCTGGAAGTGTTCAAGGCCAGGTTGGATGGGGCTTGGTATGGTATCCCACCTGTAAGGGGAAGGGAGCACCCAAGATTTGTAGGTGCTCATGGCCAAAAGGAACCAGTTAAAGAATTCATAAAAGTTCATTAAGTTTCATTAGTAAATTACACATTTGGCCTGGAAATTAGTGTGTTAGTCCCCCCTAATACAAGCACATGGCAGTGGGTTTCGGATAAAGGGGTAGGGTGAAAGGGAAGAGAGTGGGATAGATTAAAGAGGGAGAAAGGAAGAAAGGAAGAAAGAAAGAGCTTACCAGCCCTGGCTCCAGCTGATGGGGTGTCCAGGGTCCTGGGGTGCATGCATACTCAGTCTTGGTTGGGGTGGATCTTTTATTGTTGTTTCTCTGCTTTGGAGATGAATTTCTCACTTTATGTGGAAATTTATCGTGTGCAGTCTGTTATTCTAGACCCTTCTGGAAATGGGTCAGAGGACTTCAGGGGTCTTTGGTGATCTTGATCGCCCTGCTACAGTCTTAGACCACTTCTTGGCCTCATTCTTGTGCTGTGCTGTGTTGTGCTTATCTCCAAGAACTAGAACAAGGACGTTTGTCCCAGAAAAGTGCTGCCCTGTCTCTGCATGGCCCCTTCTCCATTCACATACTGTTCTCTCTCACGGCATGTTTTTGCCAAAGGGGCTCCCCCTTATCGTCTGGGCTTCTACACTTGGGGCAACCTTGTCTAGTGGAATATGCCCCTGCTGATTGCAGGAGGATGGACCTAGATGGCCTTTAAGGTCCCTTTAAACCCAAACCATTCTGTGATTATCTGACTTGTTGCTAGGCTTCTGCCCCTGCTGTGGCAGAGAGCTTGCCACAAGGCAGAGATCCCTGGCACCGTGAGCACCACTGCCTCTTGCATTAGGTTCTACTCAGCTTGGGACACTGTCTCCATCCCTCTGATTGCACCTGTAGGGCTTTCAAGTTTCACTCATTATCAACAGGCTGGCTAAATGTAAGGAAACCAACATGACACTGTGCATCTCATCCCTTTTACCCATTCCCAGAGCACATACGTGCTGCCAGTACTTCTCTGTCTCCAGCTGCTACTTTCCAGACTGGAGCTCCTGGAAAAGGGCCCTAATTACCCCCTTCCCCAGACCATTGTCCTGTGCATTGCAGCCCCTCACATCCCTACTCCTGCCTCTGCCCTTTTCCCTGCCCTGTGACTGCCCCTACCCCCTCCCCTAACCCTGATACTGAGCCCCTCAAGATTTGCGCCCCTCAAGATCTAAACAGGGGTTTGAGTCAAACTTTGCAATTTGTTTAAAAAATTGTTACTCAGTAGCTGTAGCTGGACAGTTATGATTAAGCAGTTGCATTGTGAGCATTGTATGCTTGGTTAATCAGGGAAAAGGGAAGACAATCCCAAGAGGAATGGGCTGTCTTGAGTGAAGTCAGCAGGACTGAGCAGTACCTGGGGGTAAGGTAATTCCAGCAGTGGGAGATCATGGCCACTGACTCATTGAAAGTTCTGGAGAAGATTATTCTGGGAAGTATTGAAAAACACCTGAAAGACAATGCTGTTGTTGGTCACAGCCAGCACAGCTTGAGGAAAGTCCTGCTTAGCAAACCTGATTTCCTTCTATGATATGGTGACCCACCTGGTTGATCCAAGGCAGCCAGTTGATGCGATCTTTTTGGATTTCAGTAAAGCTTTCAAAACTGTCTCTCACAGGATCCTTCTGGACAAAATATCCAGCCACAGCTGGATAAACACATCATGTGGTGGGTGAGCAACTGGCTCACGGGTCGAGCACAGAGGGTGACAGTGACTGAGGTGACATCAGACTGGTGACTTGTCACTAGTGGGGTTCTGCAGGGCTCCATCTTGGGCCCTGTGCTCTTCAACATCTTCATAAATGACTTGGACACAGGACTGGAAGGGCCACTGAGCAAGTTTGCAGATGACACAAAACTGGGAGGAGCTGTTGACTCCCTTGAAGGCAAGGGTGGCCCTCGACAAACGAGAAGTCTGGGCAATCACCAACTATAGGAAGTTCAACAGGGGAAAGTGCTGGATTCTGCACCTGGGATGGGGCAACCCTGGATGTATGGAGAGACTGGGAATGAGAGGCTGGAAAGCAGTGCCAGGAAAGGGACCTGGGGGTCCCGGTCAATGGCCAGTTGTCCATGAGTCAGCAGTGCCCTGGCAGCCAGGAGGCCAACCCTGTCCTGGGGGCACCAAGCCCAGCATCGCCAGCCAGGCCACGGAGGGGATTGTCCCGCTCTGCTCTGCCCTGGGGCGGCCTCACCTCAAATATTGGGGCAGTTTTGGGCACCACAATATAAGGAAGATATTGAGCCATTAGAGAGTGTCCAAAGGAGGGCAACAAAGATGGTGAAGGGCCTTGATTTGAAGCCGTATGAGGAGCAGCTGAGGGCACTTGGTGTGTTCAGCTGAAGAAGAGGAGACTGAGGGGAGACCTCATTGCAGTTACAACTTCCTGGGGAAGGAAACAGGAGGGACAGGCACTGAGCTCTGCTCTGTGTGACCAGTGACAGGACCTGAGGGAATGGCTTGAAGCTCTGTCAGAGGAGGTTTAGGTTGGATATTAGAAACAGGTTCTTCCCCCATTGGGTGGTTGGGCACTGAACAGGCTCCCCAGGGCAGTGGTCACAGCACCAAGGCTGATGGAGCCCAAGGAGGATTTGGATGATACTCTGAGGCACACGATGTGACTCTTGGGGATGGTCCTGTGCAGGGCCTGGAGCTGGATTCGATGATCCTTGTGAGTCCCTTCCAACTCAATATATTCTGTGATTCTGTGAAAAAGGAACCCCAGACTCAAATGGAGGGAAGAACTGCACTTGCAGACTAATTAGTATACAAAGTGAGAGACATAGCTAGCAAAGTCTGAGTAGCAATTAATAGAAAAGTTATGCAATTTGTAACCAGTGAATGCTGATACCTTTGTTTTTTTAAATGTATAAATAGCGTAAAGTTCTGGTGATCGGTGTGTAGACTTATGTGGGTTAACACCCAGACCCCTACTTAGCGCAAACCAGAGCAAGAAATAGAAATACTTCGCCTCAGTGCGTAAATTGGCGCAGCGCACCGGGGGACGAGCCCAAAGCGGGGACAACAGCCCTGTCCCTGATCCTGCCCTTGCCTTGTCCCTGTCCTTGTTCCTGTCTCTTTCCGTGCTCCTGTCCCTGCCCTTGTCCCCGTCCCTTTCCGTGACCTCATTCCTGCCCCTACCTTATCCCTGCCCTTGTCCCTGTCCCTGTCCCTGTCCCCGAGGTCCCCCCTCTGACCTTCCCTCACTCCCCGCCCTCCTGTTCCTCTCAGCAGCCCCCGCCCCTTCCGCCCGCCGAGGGCCATTTCAAGGGCACCTCCCGCAGCGGGCTATTTCCTAAAAACCCTATTTAGATTTTTTATTATTTTTTAATTAATTTCATTGCATATTACGTGTGCCTGTGTGTGTGTATATGTATATTTTTAAGTATATCTCAGGGGCGCGTGGAGCGGTTCGCGCCCCGCCCCGCCCCCTGGGCGCGGCCCTCGGCGCCAAAAGGGGCGTGAGGCGCCGCCGCCATTTTGTGAGCAGAGCGCGGGGCCGGCAGCCCTCAGCGTCCCTCCGCCGCAGCCTCCCCGGGTCCCACCGCCCTCTGCCGCGCGCAGCCAATGCTGTCCGCCCGCGTGGCCGCCGCCCTCGCCCGCTCCCCTGCCGCGGCAGGCCGGCCTGCGTGAGCGCCTGCCCGCCCCGGAGCCGGCGGGCCGGGGGGACGCGCCGCTGCCGCCATCTTGGGGGCCGCGGTGACATTGAGGGGAACATCGGAGTGTGGGGAGGGAAGCGGGGGGTGTCCCCTCAGCGATGTGGGGCAGACCCCGCTGAGGGGCGAGGTGTCCTTCACCGGGCTCAGGGTAGTGGCTGAAAGCTGCCAGGGCAAGGTCAAGGTTGGGGGTGTGAGGTGCGAGGGGATGGAGAGTTTTGTCCCGTGTTTGTGAGGAGAGAGCGAGCATGGAAAGAGCCGTCGGGAGCCTCTCGCGCCCTTGTCCTCAGTAAAGGCGAATGAGGGAGAGGCCTGCCCGGCGTATAGGGCATTAAATAAATTGCATTAACGGTGCTGCATGGGACTGCATTGGGAGCCTTGCTTGGGGTGCAGGAATGTAATCTAATGTAGTCATTATCACAGATCTTTTTTTTTGGACGTTAGAAAGAAATTCTTCACAGATGGGGTGAATAGACATTGGAATGGGCTTCCCAGGGAGGTGGTGGGGTCATTGTCCCTGGAGGTGTTTAAGAATAGACTCTGCCATGATTTAGTTGACATGGTAGTGTTCAGTCACAGTTTGGACTCAATGATCTTGGAGGTCTTTTCCAACTAATTGATTCTGTGGTTCTGTTCTTTTGCTGAAGAGGTTTTGTTTTCTTTTTTTTTTGCTATATGTGTTAACCGTACCAAAACCACTGCAGTTAGATTTTTCTTAGGAGACACAATCTTATTTCTCCCCTGTGCAACTCTGAGTGGTGCAGTGATTTCTGTATGCCCAAGGTTCTGATGTTTAGGTGCCAAGCAAGAGGAGGTTTTGCTGTGGGAGCTGCTGCAGTGCTTGATGGTGACATCAGTGCACTGCAGAAAAACGCAGCGAGGGGTTGGGAGCAACCTCCTTCACCATTTGTCCTTTCTTGGTGGTGCTGGGGTTGGTTCTGGAACTCCAGAACTCGTTCTGTAATTGTGAATGAGGTGCTGTGGAGTTCAGCTCAAAACTGAGACAGATCATAAGCTCAAAATGAAAAATCCCAGTGTGTTATATCTTAGTGTGTTTTTTGCATGATTAAGGAAATCTCATTGGTTCTGAAACAGTTGCTTATTTTAGGTTTCCAGGAACACCCTGGGTGCAGCATTTGTTGCTACACGAAACTTCCATGCCTCCAAACCATGCTTTCAGAAGACTGGTGAGTCTGAGAAAGGTCTTGAGTGTGGTTTAAGAACTTGGTCTGTCAGACAAAATGGGAATTTGAATATGATGGGTGTTATTTGACAGCACTTGAGGACCTTTATGTTCTGACAGTATTTAACAGTGAAATGTTACACAGTCACATCCTGCAAACTGCACTTCATTTAAAATTCAAAACATGCCCTAACCAGGGGGACACCACATGTCAGCTGGCTTACACAGGTACCTGCTTCATGAGGATTCCAGTCAGCCTTCAACTCCTGCAGAACTATTTGAAAAAAGTTGCCCCAAGTTGGAGTTTCCTGTCCTGCTTGGGACAGTGTGAAGAAGCAGATGACTTTCCCAGGCCTGCCTGGGTTTGACCTTGTGTCCTTGAGCATGGCTTTTTTGCTGCCAGCAGTTTGGTGTTTAGAGAAGACAGCTGCTCTGCGTGGCTGTGTTTTTGGCAGCAATTCACGTACGTTATTTTGAAGTGGTTTAGGGCAATTAAAGGTTATTGGGAAGTAGCAGTTTCACAGTTTTATTTACTGTTTGTTAGATGTGGAAATAAAAGATTGTTGGAGGTATGCAGCCAAACAAATTTGAGGAAGATGGAGGATACGTTTTTACAGTTTATATTGAACAGCTTGCTCCTTAAATGTATGGAATTCCTTTAGGTGTGTTTGGATCTTGGATTACAAATCAATTGGCTGGGTGTTTTGATGCATCCAAGTCTAAGTAACTGCTCAACAAGCAGAGCAAGCATGCCTGTTCTCTCTGAGCTAAGGCTAATTAATTAGTCTAATTGTTTTCTAGGGAGAGAGATTGATAGTAGTGTAGGACATAATCAAGAAAATTGATAACTGAACAGCCATCTGTGTTCTGGTTAAAACTGGCGTGTAATGATGAGTTCAGGCTCCTTTTATTAACTGGGAGTACAGAGGCTGTTATTCATCTTACGCATCCTAGGTAAGGGTGTTGTTTGCTAGACTTTGTGGCACATTTGAGGAAGGGGACCTTGTGAATTCAAGACAAGCTTACTGGGTTCATACTGTACCTTAATGTGCTTTTAACCTCTCTTTCCAGGTACTGCGGAGGTATCCTCTATTCTGGAGGAACGTATTCTGGGAGCTGACACCTCGGCTGAGCTGGAGGAGACGGGCCGTGTGCTCTCCATCGGTGACGGTATCGCCCGTGTGTACGGCCTGAGAAACGTCCAGGCAGAGGAGATG